TTATAGTGCGTGGACCTTATCTATGCTTCCAGAGAGAAAGGCCGTCTAAATAAGGGATCTGATGTCCAAGGTTAGACAAGGTTATGAAATTAATTAACCGTAACAAGTAAGTTAATTAAGTTAAATTTCTTTCAGTTAAAAGTTAACAAGTTAAGAAACAATTTAACTCGATAAGCTTTAAGTTAAAATGAAAAATTAAATTAACTTAACTCAATAAAAAAATTTTTTTTTCGTGTTACAATATCATTAAGTCGTAAAGTGCTTATTATTTTGATTTACACAAATATTTGAGACATTTAATACTGTGCAAACATCACATTATTGTGATATAATATTATGATAAAATAAATGATTATATATATGAATATATAAATTCCGTTGGTTCCACATGATACAAAAAGGAAATTAATATAAGTGCACGACTATGATAGTTAATCATAAAAAGTTAAGTTACAATAATAAAAAAAAATTAACTAAATAAGTTAGTAATTTACAAATAAAAATGATTAATTTGTTAACTTTAACTTTAACTTTTTGACAAGTTAATGGCTTAATGGTCACTTTTACTGATATCCGATATAAAGATAGTTCTATAGATAACACTTTATTTAGGCTGCATGTCTATCACTCTCTGGTCAGCATGATCGTCCTGTTTTCGGTGTGAAAGATGTACTACCACCTACACAACAATCTATCTCTAAGAATAAAGAGTCATGCATATTTCTGTCGTTTTACAAACCATAATYAATACGTTTTTTGTGTCGCCTGTAATCTTACTATATAGCATATTAGTACGAAAGTAGTATAAAGTTACGAATCAGGTAAGACATTCAATAAATATTTTGCATAAAATTGTATAATATTATTGATGAATTCTCGAATACATGATTTCAAGAACACTCCAGACAGCGTGATATTAATATTCGTATCTGATATTGAAAATGCTCTAGAAGCACTTGCGTGTACATATAGAATCATCGTAAGTTATTATTTTCGCATAAAGAAACATTTATTTTATAATTAGTTTTTATTTCTTATTTTTACGTTATTYTACATAGTTTAACTCTTTATTTTAGGAAGTAATAGTTTTCATATACTTAGCTCTACCTTTATCACAAGGGCAAGGTTACTATCCCATCACGCTGCATGCATTGCTCTGTGGGTTGGATACATTAGATGAATATACGCTATTTGGTTGTCAGGACTGGAACGGCCTTCGGGCTGAATTTTGCGAACGCCCGAGACGCCCTTCTGAAGTCCAAGATATGTTGGACATCCTGTGTGGCCCTATATTCGAAGACCTCTCGGCTGACCTTACGGAGAAGGGACTCGTTCTTAACGAAGCAGAGAAGGTGTTCAGGATTTTCTAGAAAATGGCCGTTGGGATTCTGACGCTCAAAGAGGAAAAATAGAGAGAGGACGTGTCAAGCGGCTGAGGCTGTTGAGGTCTAGTCATTCAGTTACGGAAACAAGAGTGGCTGACTTAGACTGACTCGCGATGAGGCATTTCAGTACCTACGAAAGTCAAGGTTGTCTRGAAAAAGCCGGTTCGAGTAGAAGCCCTACTGAACGCGAAGTCTAGGGCAGTGGACTTATAAGAAGACTATAAATGCCCGTAAATTAATCCCTGTGAAGAGACAGGGCAAACATGTCACCTTGTGGCCTAGAACCATTTGTTCTTGAATTTAAGTTCTCATTATGACTCTATGGTCAATGGTCTATTATACATACCATCGCTGCTGAGGAAAGTAGATTCTGACTCATTACGAGAGCATATCAAATTTTCAATAAACGATGTTGCATAGGGGTTAATCCGTGTGTAAAAACAGTTCAGCCCCCATGTAGTGATGCCACAGGAAAAAAAAGTTTACATATAACWACKTAGTTAGGAAAATTATTAGTTATTTTCTCCACTCCACGAGCAAACATCGAGTCTTATAGATATATTTAATAACATGCGGCTAACATATTATAACGTAATACCTATATACTACTTATAAGTTTAAGGTTATAACATACGATTWCAAAAGTGTAATAACGAGGTTACTATTACCTAATTGTATATAATTCGGTTGCTGAAGCTTAGTTGCAATGGTTTCCGGTTTCAAGACACGAGAATATCAATGCAAATTTTAGATTAACCTCAGCTCAAAAACATAATCATGCTAAAAATTAGATTCCTTTTAAAATTTAATAGAGAAATTATAATATTAATTGGTTTTAGGATTCCATTTATAATTTTGGAACATGACCTTATATCCCCGTTGTGTCCGTTCGTCTGTTGGTTATTACTTTACTAGTACATAATATATAGTCATGATTTTCGATATATATATATTACTGATTTTTAAAATAAAAATTCTTTCTTGAGGTATGGGTTGAAAAAAAATCGTCACAAAAAATGAAATGCAACGATTGCTGTTACAGTGACAGTTGTTACACCTTACTCTTTTGTTGTTTTTATACAAACATATATATTTACGATTTAAAATTTATAATTCACTTATAATTTCACTGGCCCCAATACTTATGAAAAAAGTTTTACTTTCCCAGATCGAGTGGAACGGTGGGCTCAAACACTCTCATTTAGTTTTATTTTTATATATTTATTTTCGTAGTTACTGAGCATAAATTGTATATGGAATTATAAAATAATTGCGATGTATTAACTACGTCTAGAATCCGGGAATTAAGCACGCCCGCTGAGTGAGCTTTCATAACTTATTTAGGTTTATAAACATAAGTTTTGAATCCCTTATATCCTTGCTGCGTACTTGTGTCAGATTGTTTGACCCTCCATAATATAGTTACCGGTGCATGACTACTAGGCTACGATTAAGATCTTATAACCGTGGTTCTATTCAACGTAAATTCATATACTAGCCAATAGCTAAAAATAGATACCTACCGAAATATAAAGATTACYAAACAATTATTTTTAAATTGTATAATATTATTATAGAATTATAGTTTATTGTGTTGAATTTAAAATTTAAATACGTGCTATCGACAATCGACAGATAGTGTCAGCATAATTAAACATACGCTYAATTATACAATGTAGTTAGGCCTCAGAATTTAAAAGTGTGAGCTTTAATAATTCTTTTTATACATACATATTTATGCACGTACCTATTAATTGTCAAGATATGATAATGTTTGGTTAAAATCTAAATAAAAATTCTATTGTACACTAATATTAACATTTTTGTCGAACAAATAATTTTTATCGTTATATCTTATGGTAATTCTATTTAATGAGTAGTCTTGGACTAAGTAAGTAAGTGGAAATTGGGGATGAAGGTGGCCGACTTCAAATAGTTGGRAGAGAWGGCGGAGGAAAAGAAGAAAAAGAAGAGTATTCCCTCAACTTTAATGACCGACTGCTAAAATCTCACTGAACTTTTATTACATATTCATTCAAATATAAAGATCAGTACAAACATGAAATTTCATTTAATTGATCAGCAAATGCAAACATACTGTTTGTATTTAAGCGTCTTGATCAYGGTTTGGCAAATAAAATCATAATAGTTTATTTTGAAGTAAAAACATCTTCTCAGTGCGTATTTTCTGAAATCAAATAGGTATTGATTAGTGATTATTTAATAGTTATTAATATTTCTTTTACTTATTACAATTTGTCACGATATATAATTTGTCACGAATACATCATACTTGACGAGTGCCGAGTGTTATCAAATTACGTTTTGAATGTAAATATTCTGCAGCCACACTTACTATTCGCAATTAAATTGTTCGGATTCTAGTTTTAAATTTTAAAACAATAAATTTTTAGATAGTTTATAGTTAAGTGCTAGATCCATTGTTCGCGATCGAATAATTCACGGTTGATACGCCTGGATAGTTCAACGCCGTGTCAGTGAAAATTATGACGAAAGTCCGAAGGTCATTTGACTAGATTAGAACATAGGTATGTTGACATGTTGTATATGTTGTCAGGAATTACTTGGCACGAGATTGGAAAAATAATAAATATATATATATAATATACATATGTAGACAAATTGTGTTTATCCAGTTCAATGGGAATCTGTTAAAAGTATCTCAAGTCACAAATTTGAGCAAAACAGTTTTTTTACTGWGAATTATATATTATAATATCTTATGTGAACACGCCGTTTTGTTTTAAATAGTTAAGTCCTCCATCGTATATTTTTGTTGCTTAAAATATTTTGAAATGTTTGTATTATGCTAAAAGATGCAATGTT